AGAGAGAGAGAGAGAGAGAGAGAGAGAGAGAGAGAGAGAGAGAGAGAGAGAGAGAGAGAGAGAGAGAGAAATGCTTCAACAATGCTCAAATTAGAATCACACCGTAGTCAGTGTAGTGTGAATTTGAGCAGTGCCCAGGGTTCACCTGACCAGAACGGTTCCCAGTGCTGAAACCACACGCCAATATGAAATTTGCTTTGGGAAAGTTTGGGGGAGCTAGCTGGGCCACTACCATGGCAACAATCCCAAAGCACTTTTTTTGGATACGCCAATATGAAATTTGTTTTTGGAAAAGTTTGGGGGAGCTAGCTGGGCCAGTGCCATGGCAACAATCCCGGAGCACTTTTTTCGGATGCGCCAAAGTGATGGGAAGCTTATCGAGCTAGCACCGTCATCCCGGCCCAAGCAAACTTGCTCAGGCTCTCCGCAGCAACATCGGGTCTAATGGTAGCCGACCATCGTTTGTGAGATTCCAGATATGCGCCTGATCTTAAACAAACCGCCACAGTACCCTGGCGAGTTCATTCCTGAACCTGCCTACGTCAAGCTTCCCAGCGTTATGGAAAACATACAAGCTGCCACACAACGTAGAACCGGCAGTGCTTTTGCTCCATATCACCCCTCTTTTGCTCCATATCACCCCTCTTTTGGTGTTGATGCCTTTTCTTTATTTGTTACCTTTTCATTTCTTATTTATAGACGAAGAAAGCAGAAAGCACTCATCCCCCACGTCTCTCTCTCTCTCTCTCTTCCTGTGTGTGTGTGTGTGTGTGTGCGTGTCCGTGTGTGTGTCCGTGTGTGTGTCCGTGCGAGTGTCCGTGTGCGTGTGTGTGCGTGTTGCATGTGTGAGTGTTGTCATGTTCGCTATACACAACTCCAAAGAATCAAGCATGACTATGCAAGACTGTTTCATCGGACTTTCACCGACTCATCAGGAGGTTGAACCCTGACAGTCCGCCCAGGATGCATCTGACTGATGGATAACGACACATCGCCCAGAGATAGCAACCCCTGACAAATGTAGTAGACTTTACTCACACCAACCCTGCAATCGTCGCAGACTGTTGATCCAAACCCCTTAAAGAACGGCCGTAAGAATGAGGAACTAATCTGTCACAGCCATAAAACCTACTCTGCACCCCCACTCAGCCACTAGGGCGATTTCCCGGGCGCCCAGGTGCCAAATTCCCGACTGGAATGGCACCCGCGCGCCTGGCCGGTCAGGACCCCCGGTCGGGGGGGCCCACGGGCCAGTTTTGCACAAGGCCCAAAAAAAAAAATTTTGCGGCCTGGGGGGTGCTCCGGGGTTCGTTGAGGCCGGTAGGACCGGCGTAAAAAAAATTCCGGCCGTGGGGGGACCCGAAATGTGCCTTGCCGCGTCGCCGAGATCTGGCCGTCTATCTCGAAGATTGACGGCTGGATTTCGCAGGTTTCGAAGTTCGTTTGCCCGCGCGTTTTCGCGCCGGCACGATGAGTTTGCCGACGCGAAAACGCGCGGGCAAACGACTTCCCCTACGGAGTCGGCCATCGGAGCCCGCGCGACAACAACGAAGCCCCGAAGACCCCCTGCCGTTGCCCCGGGAGCCCGCCGCCATCGCCCGCCGGCCACTCCTCGGCCATCGACAGTTCGTGTGTGTGTGTGTGTGTGTATGTGTGTTTGTGTGTGAGAGAGAGAGAGAGTTTTCCAGCTGTTTCTCTCCTCCTCTGCTTCTTCTTCTTCTTCTTCTTCTTCTTCTTCTTCCTCTTGTTCTCGTCCAGCTGCCCATCGCCCCGGACCTCGCCCCACCACCCTTCGTCTTCTTCTTCTTCCTCCTCTTCGTCTTCGTCTTCCCCCCCCCCCCCGACTTCGCCGCGACGGCGCCCCTGTGTTCCATCTTTTTCATCGTCGTTCGGTAGGTAGCGCGAAATAGGACACGAAACAAGAAAAAAAAGTCATCCTCCGATCCTCCTCTTTCCCCTCCTCCGCTCTTCTTCTTCTTCTTCTCTCCTCCTCCTCCACTCCTCTTCTTCTTCTCCCCCTCATCCCCCTATCATTTTCTTCATCTTCCTCCACCTTATTTGATCGACTTCTTCCTGCCCTCCTCCCCCTGTCATTTTTCTCGCTGGCAATTCTTCTTCTTCTTCTTCTTCTCTCCTCCTCCTGCTCCCGTCTTTTTCGCCGTCGTCTATAGGTAGCGCGAAATAGGACACGGGAAAGGAAAAAAAGAAAAACGTCCTCCAAGTCAGATCCGAGTCATCCTCCGATCCTCCTCTTCCCCCTCCTCCGCTCGTTAACTTCTTCTTCTTCTTCTTCTTCTTCTTCTTCTTCTTCTTCTCTCCGCCTGCTCCCGTCTTTTTCGTCGTCGTTATATAGGTAGCAGCAACAGGCACCCCCCCCCCCCCTTTTTCTCGCCAGCAAATCTTCTTCTTCTTCTTCTTCTTCTTCTTCTTCTTCTCTCCTCCTGCTCCCGTCTTTTTCGCCGTC